ATTGTTTTACTTGTTAGTTTTTGGTGAGTGCAAAGTTAATTATTTTATGAATGTAAATAGTTTAGGCTCAGAATTTGGTAAACATTTGGCAATATACTTTAGAAGTTATTTGAAACATCTACAGGAGAATACACAAATATACAACTTAACACATCATTGCAGAATGTGCCAGTTGAGCAATTTGTTGTTTTTGTTGTGTTTTTTTCACTTTGTTATGTTATGTATTAAAGTTTAATAAGTTGTCTAAGTGTCTTTTTTTTTTTTTTTTTTGACAGGCAGAGTTAGACGTGAGTGAGAGAGAGACAGGGAGAAATGTCTTCCTTCTGTTGGTTCACTCCCCAAATGGCTGCCAAGGCCAGCTCTGTGCTGATCAAAAGCCAGGAGCCAGGTGCTTCCTCCTGGTCTCCCATGTGGGTGCAGGGGCCCAAACACTTGGGCCATCCTCCACTGCCCTCCCAGGCCACAGCAGAGAGCTGGACTGGAAGAGGAGCAACCCGGACAGAACCGGCACCCCGACCGGGACTAGAACCCAGTGTGCTGGCGCCGCAGGTGGAAAATTAACCTAGTGAGCCGTGGTGCTGGCTAAGTGTCTTTCAACAATTTCCACATTTATAAATATATATTTGTGTGTAATATCTTCTGTATATAATATGAAGCCATTTTTTCTCTTGCTGAGCTTGTGAGTTTTTATTTTTCTGATATTTAAATAGGGCTTCGAAGAGACTATGCAATTGACTTCCTTCTTTCTTTTGAGCTATTTTTTGTGGAATGTGGAATTTTCAGTTCTGAAAGTCATGAATTGTTTTAAGGCTCTTTTTACTCAATTTCAAATCACTTGTATCATATCAATGTATATACCTTGAACCATACAATGTATACTTGTATCCAATGTTAAGCATAGGGACTCAAAATTTTTAATTTACTTTAGCTTACTTAATAGAAGTATAAATATAAAAGGGACTTGACATAATTCATCTCTATTATCTTCTGTGAGTTGGCTGGCACAATTTTGGCCAGTTAATGCGGTGATATCTCCTACCTGTATTTAAACTTGTAGATATATGATATAGTTAGAATTTAATTATCTGAATTTAAAATTAAGTAAAAACTCCTAAATTTTCATGAAAAAATTAAGATTATCCCAGTAATTATTTTGGTTTGGGAAAGGCCTTGAATTTTGATGTACTTAAATTGAAGTTCACTTAGCACCTATTTGAAGAAGTTTGTGTTAAAAAAAAAGTTCCAGTTAAGTCTTTAAAAACAGAGAATAACAGAGACCTCAAAAAGTTAATTTGCTGCAATTGACACCTTCGAGGTTGGCCTTTTTCTCTTGCTAGTGTGGTTGATATTTCCCTGTGGCCCAGGGGAGAGCATGGATGGACAAGTCTGCTAAGAATGACATAGTATCGTCCCTTCCAGAAGCAAGAAGCTACTAAGACCTGAGGCCTTTAATATGGAAGGTGATGGAAGATGCAAGATGGGCATGAATTGTGATGGAAGATGAGCATGAGTTGTGAAGTTGGCATCTGCACACAGAGAGCTTAATTGGGCTCCCACAATCTTTGACCACTTCGACAGAGGAGATCAGCTTCTGAAATAAGTCTCACGAATTTTTGGGAAGCAGTGTGGTGTGTTGGTGGAGAGCATGGGCTTTGGAGACCAAGAGAACTGGATTTTGGGCTGGCACCATGGCTCACTTGGTTAATCCAATGCCTGTGGCGCTGGCATCCCATATGGGCACCGATTCTAGTCCCACTAGCTCCTCTTCCAGTCCAGCTCTCTGCTGTGGCCCAGGAGGGCAGTGGAGGATGGACCAAGTGCTTGGGCCCTGCACCTGCATGGGAGACCAGGAGGAAGCACCTGGCTTCTGGCTTCGGATCAGCGCAGCTCCGGCTGTAGCAGCCATTTGGGGAGTGAACCAATGGAAGGAAGACCCTTCTCTCTGTCTCTCTCTCTCTCACTGTCTATAACTCTACCTGTCAAATAAATTAAAAAGAGAGAAAACTGGATTTGAATCCTTGATTTTTCAGTTACCAGTTCTGTGACCTTGGAGAAGACTCTTGGCCTTTCCAACCTTTAGTTTAACAATCTGAAAAATGGGAAGCAAATCTATATCAAACAGTGATTATCAATAGTGCTTGATGTAAGTTACTGTTCCTCCACGGATAAACGCGTAACTTCATGAAGACAATGAGCCAAAAGGAGGCGCTAGAGGGAAGCGGCTGTTTCTGTGCCTTGTTGCTCCAGGGGAGGAAACATGCCCTGATTTCTACCTGCAGGTCTTCCACAGAACTTCTAGAAAGTTTCCATAAGCAGGAGGCAGAGAGAGACTAAGCTAAGAGTACCAACTGATTAAGAGAGTCATGCTTGTTTGCTATCTTCAAAGAAGTCCAGTTTCATCTTTTGGGTGTTTGGTTTTCTTCCTTTTCTTTTCTTTTTAAGATTTATTTTAGTTATTTGAAGGGCAGAGTTACAGAGAGGGGGAGTAGAGGGGAGTCAGTCTTCCATCTGCTGGTTCACTCCCCAAGTGGTTGTAATGGTCAGGGCTGGGCCAGGCTGCAGCCAGGATCCAGGAGCTTCTTCCAGGTCTCCCATGTGGGTGCAGGGGCCCAAGTACGTGGGACATGTTCCATTGCTTTCTCAGGCATATCAGCAGAAAAGTGGACCAGAAGTAGAGTAGCTGGGACTTGAACTGGCACCCATATGGATTGCCAGTATTGTAGGCAGCAGTTTTACCTGCTACACTGCAATGCCAGTTCCTGCTTGGTTTTCTTTTAAGCAAGAAATCTATAATAAAAACTCAAATTGTTTTTACAAGTCAACTTCTAGAAAAGTGTGTGTGTTCTCATGGGTGTGCAGGCTGTTAGAACCTTACAGGAATGCATAGGGAGAGCTTTTTGTTCTTTGTGGAGAAAGACGATGACACAGGATCTGGGCTCCACACGTGGTCTTCACTGGATGAGTATAACTGTGTGACTTTTGTGAAAAATACCAATTGTGGATGCTCTTCTAGTGTCAAAGTATTAATCCAAGATTTTTTGTTTCTCAGATGTGAAACCAGAACTTAATTCATGTCCACTTCTTACTTGAGAAATTGATTGGGCATTAATAATCATACTAGATCTTATAAGCTTAAACTGAATTATTCCTATAACATCTGCCAGGCAGCTTTCTCTCCTGCCAACTGATTCCAGAAGCCATAGATGGAAGAGTAGAATTATTTTTGGCATACCTGTTAGCCACCTGTGATGTTGATGGATTTGATCCAGTAGCCACACCTTCTACATTCAGACCCTGGTTATGCAGCCAGACTGCCACTCGTGGAGTTTATAGAAGACAACAGGGAAAGGATATTGAGGGAGCTCTTGTCATCTGAATAATGTGTCTAGACACAGCACATTACGAAATGGGAAGCCCAGGGTACATGCCTAATCTTAGATCCTCCCTACAATATGGCTCCATGGAATTGCAATGAGTGGTTCAGGCCACATTTCACTGATCTCTTTCCTCATTGATTATGAATGAAGATATGAAAGAAAAGGCAGGAGCAGGAGAAACACCTTCCAAACTAATTGGTCTTGAAATTTTAGTGTTACTGAATGACAAGTGAACACAGGGACTTTGGAAGTTAATTTCAATATTAATATTCTTGTCAACTTGGAATTATTTTCAAAAGTCTGGAGATTATTTGCCTTTTTCATAATATCTTTAAGAAATTATTTTCTACAATGATCTAAGAACTATAGATGCAGAAAGAGTCTTAAGCAGTTAGTCCAATTTACCACAGGATTGATATTCTTTCGAATTTGAGTTGGACACTTCTGAGATTCAGATATCCAGGGCCAGTGTTGTGGTGCTACTGCCTGTGATGCTGACATCCCATATGGCCACTGGCTCATATCCTGGCTGCTCCACTTCCAATGCAGCTCCATGCTAATGGCCTAGGAAAAGAAGTGAAATGTTGCCCAAGTGTTTGGGCCCCTGGCACCCACATGGAGACCTGGATGGAGCTCCTGGCTCCTGGCTTTGGCCTGGCACAATTCTGGCCAGTGTAGTCATCTGGGGAGTAAACCAGTGGATGGAAGATCTCTCTCTCTCTCTGTGTCTCTCCCTCTTTCTCTGCAACTCTGTCTTTAAAAAATAAAAAGAATGGCCGGCGCCACGGCTCACTAGGCTAATCGTCCGCCTTGCGGCGCCGGCACACTGGGTTCTAGTCCCGGTCGGGGCGCCAGATTCTGTCCTGGTTGCCCCTCTTCCAGGCCAGCTCTCTGCTGTGGCCAGGGAGTGCAGTGGAGGATGGCCCAAGTGCTTGGGCCCTGCACCCCATGGGAGACCAGGATAAGTACCTGGCTCCTGCCATCGGATCAGCTCGGTGCGCCGGCCGCAGCGGCCATTGGAGGGTGAACCAACGGCAAAAGGAAGACCTTTCTCTCTGTCTGTCTCTCTCACTGTCCACTCTGCCTGTCAAAAAAAATAAATAAAAATAAAAAGAATGAAAAATATATGGGTGCAGGCAATTTGTTTGTTTCCCTGCAGTATTATAAGTGTGTAAAATAGTGCCAGGCATACAGCAGATGCTTAACAAAATTTTGTTGAATTAGTGAATAGCTCGTAGACAAAAGTTAATTTCAGCTTGGCCATTAGATCCAGCAGGATATTTTTAAAAAAATATTCTTTGATGCTTACACAAGCCAAAGAGGGATATGATTTGTATTAGTGCATTTTCTGTTACTATAACAAAATATCAGAGGCTGAGTGCTTTGCAATGAGGAGAGGTATATTTAGCTCACAGTTTAGGAGGCTCAAGAACATGGTTCTGACTTCTGAGTGGTTCTGGCGGGGGCCTCATGGTGGGTGGCATCATGGCGGTGGGAGTGTGCTCCAGAGGGGAAGACACACGGTAAGGCATGACGCTGAAGCTGGCACTGTGGCAGCTTTTTTTTTTTGGTGCCGACACCGCGGCTCCGGCGCTGCAGTTTATTCCCCGGGGCGGGCGCGGGTCAGGACTCCTCGGCGCCTGAGTCCGAGTCCTCGTCCTCGTCCCCAAAGCGGCTGTCGCCCTCGGCCTCGGCGTCCGCGTCCTCGTAGTAGTCGTCGTAGAACAGGTCGGCGCCCTCGTCGGGCGGCGACGCCTTGCTCCGCACGCAGTACTCGGCCAGCGTGGTGGGCACCTTCACGCCGTCCCGCTCCGCGTCCACCTTGGTCCCCAGCACCTGCTTCCGGATGATGTCTGTGTACTCCCGGTCCCTCCCCTTGCTCTCCTTCCACTTCCTGTACATCACGGACGCGTCCACGTTGGCTGGCGAGAAGGTGTTGGGCTCGTTGAGCAGAGAGATCACGCTCAGCAGGATGGTCCTCACGTTCTGTGTGGGGTTCCAGCGCTCGGAGGGCAGCTCCCCACTCTGGGGGTCGTCGACCGGGGGGTGCAGGATGGAGATGCACACGTCCCCTGTCTCATAGATGTTCGGGTGCCACATCTTGGTCAGGAAGCGGAAGGCCGGCGGGGAGTACGGGTAATTCAGGGGGAACTTGAGCCGAGCCTTGAAGTAGCCGCCTTCGTAGTAGGTGTTGGGCGGCCTGAAGATGGCCACCTCCCAGTTGTACAGGTCGCCCTCGTCCACCAACGTCACGCGGAAGCCCTCGACCGGCTCCTCCTGCAGCCCCTTGAGCTCCAGCAGCAGCGCCTTCTGCGAACTGGGCACCAATGGCCGGGCCATGGTGCTCCACTTCCAATCCAACTCTCTGCTAATGTGCCTGGGAAAGGAACAGAAGATGGCCCAAGAGTCTGGGCCCCCGGACCCATGTGGGAGGTCTGGAAGAGGCTCCTGGTTCCTGACTTTGAATTGGCTCTGATCTGGCCATTGTGACTATTTGAGGAGTGAACAAGCAGATGGAAGATTGATCTCTACCTGTCTCCCCTTCTCTCTCTGTAACTCTGCCTTTCAAATAAACACATCTTAAATAAAGACAAAACACTACAGGGAAGAAAAGGGATGAATCTTGCTCCTTTATAGCAACTCTCCTTTGGGTACTCAAATCCTGGGAGAACTACAGGACTATATTAATCCATTCGAAGAACCATGTCCCCAGTAACCCAGTCATCCCCGTACTGGGCTCTACCCTTGGGGGACAAGCCACATTTAAACCATGCCATGGCTTATGGGATTTATTTTTTTTTACCTCAACCAAAAAATCCCCCAAAAACTAAAGCAAAGCAAAACAAAACAAAACAAAACAAAACAAACAAAAAAACCAGCAATCAGAAGACTGCAATCTAGAAATACTTAGGCATCTGTGATCTGGTCCATTCCACTGACAAGATTCCAACATTCTTTGTGTTTTCTCACCTTAAATACTCATAAATTTAGGAGAGGGTGCTCAGCCTTCCCTAGGAACCTGTTCCAAGTGAAATTCTTTTCTCCTGAGCCCAACCTAGAACTACAAAGAGCTTGCTTCATTTTTCTGTTGTTGTTTTCTTTACTGCACAATGAGAAGGAGTTTGTCAATGTACTCTATATCCATTTTTTAGGGTGAACTGCTAGCTTGCTTCTCCATTTTTCTCTTCTAATGTCAATCAACAGTACTTACAGACACTCTGCTATGGGGCTAACACTCTGCTTTCCCACAGTTTCATGCCTGATTTTGAAGACTTTTGAAACATTTTCATTCTTTCTCTAAATCTTCTCCAATTTCTTCACAGCTTGCTTAAAATGTGAATCCATGAAACTTGGCATCCTATGGTGAGACCATTGGGAAAAACAGCTGTGCCTGGGTTATCAAGGAGGGCCTAGACTCTATTTTATTCATGCCAAGAAAAAGGGACATTGATTGGTGAATCTCCATAGAGATGTGGCATGGAGGGGGCGGGGCTTACAACCAATGAGAAATGGTAAGAAACTTCACATTTTCTAGAGTGTCTCCACTGAGCTGTGAGTTTTCTTTCATAAAAAAATAAAGCTTTCAAAATATTGGAAATGTTGTGCTTTGTGGGGTTCTGTATTAGAAAGCTAGTTTCATAACTCTGTTTTGTAACAAACGATCCCCAAACTGAAGAGTTTGCAGCAACACTCCTTTACTCTCCAGTCTCCAGCCTGCATGTGCACCTGCAGTTCAGCCAGTTCAGCAGCCCTGGGGTGCTGTTCCCTGGGAAGCTTTGTTTTAGGCTGTGGGTCACCTGAGTGTCTCTCTCTCCAGTATGTGGATGGCTTCATATCCACTTCACATGTCCTCTCATCCTCCTTAGACCATGGGCTCCCCCAGGCATGTTGTAATGAAGAAAGGCAGCAGTGTGAGGAACAAGCATGTTAAAGACTTGTCCACATCTCATCTGCTAACATCCCTTTGATTAAGTAAGGCAATCACCAACTCCAGTATCAATGGGGGCAGAGAAGACTGCCCCTATAGTAGAGGAGGCAAGGAGTTAATCTTTGCTTACAGGGATGCAGCTTATTGCCAAACTCACAAATATAAATCATATGAGGGCAGGCCTTCGGTTTTGCTCACCACTGTGTCCTTGGGCCTGGTGCTTGTAGTGGCTCGATGCACATTTGTCGAATGAATGAACTGACTAATTAAGGAGGAAATCAATAACAGACTCAACAATAGCAGGCTAAGAATAGTATTAATGGCAACAGAGTAGAATATATTATATATATTGCTTCTAGCAAAGGCATTTATTTCAATAAAGGATATTAAAGTAGTTATGATAGAATTTGTACCAAGATTAACTGCATGTGATGTATACATGAATACAGTCATGTGTTTACATTCTCATGTCTTCTGTATCCACTCACTAGTGTGTCCTTGTCCTTATGGCCCTATAAGAGGCATTGTTTGATGAGGAATCCTTTCTACACGTGATAAGTGTGAGAGCCTCCTATGACTTGCACTGATGGTGGTGCCTGCCCGTGATTAGCTCTGCCACCCTTGAACCTCCTTGCCTGACCAATGCTTTTGCTGAGCATGAATTACCTGGACAATACGTGCTGCAGGCCCTCTCCCTCTGTTGCTGTGACCTGATCAGTTGGGTCACATGGCTTGAAGCTGTGCTGCAGGGAATACTTCCAGTATCTCAGCTGTCCATGCCAGTTAGAGTCAGCCAGTGTGGCTCATGCTTTCCTGTCGCCCTCCTGTTGCTGCTTTTGGCACTGATGCAGGATGCTGAGCCCCACCTGCTGCTGCTTCACATGGCAACGTTAGTAATTCTTCCTGGATGTCGTGTTAACTACAGCTTCTGGAAGTCACTGATTGATTATTCCAAGAATCCAAATAGGTTATCTAAGGCAGATTTAAAATGGCTGCTGGATAAGTAGTGAAAACTATCTTTGGTTTGGTCTAGATTGGTCTAGAAAAAACTCCTACAGGTTGATTATGTGAATTTAGGACAGGTAACTAACTTCCATATCTTGTTCCACATTATCATTCTGTTAGCAAGCATCAGGACTGGCTCATGGCATATATTCAATTATTAGCCTTTGAACGTATGAAGGAAAAGCATATGTACTCTCCACACAACTTATTTTTGGCCTTAAAATAACTTTTCAGTATGTTACAGTATGGATGCTGTTAAAGTAATGATACTTAAAAATTAAATGATTTTTGATTTACAGAGTCCCACATTTCCTGCATTAACTGTCATATAATAAACACCATATAATATTTTTCTAAAGATTTATTTTTTATTTATTTGAAAGTCAGAGTTACACAGAAAGAGGAGGAGAGGCAGAGAAAGAGAGAGGTCTTCCATCTGATGGCTCACTACCCAACTGACTGCAACGGCTGGAGCTGGGCAGATCCGAAGACAGGAGCTTCTTCTGGGTCTTCCCACATGCGTGCAGGGGCCCAATGGCTTGGGCCATCTTCTCCTGCTTTTCCAGGTCATAGCAGAAAGCTGGATCAAAGTGGAGCAGCTGGGACTCGAATCGCTGCCCATACGGGATGCTGGTACAGCAGGTGGTGGCTTTACCCACTATTCCACAGCACCAGCCCCAACCATGTAATATTTTGAAAATATTTATTTGAAAGGAATAAACACACACACACACACACAGGGAAGGAGGAAGTAAAGACAGATGGATAGACAGCTTGGTTGATTTTCTGTCGGTTCACTCCCCAAATGACCAAAACAGTCAGGTCTGGGCCAGGTGGAAATCAGTAACCAGGAAGCCTTTCTGAGTCTACCACATGAGTGGCAGGAACTCAGCTACTTGAGCCATTACCTTTGCTTCCCAGGCATATGACAGGGAACTAAATCTGAATTGGCGGGGTCTTGAACTGCTGCTCCAATGTGTGATGTAGGCATCTCAAGCAGTAACTTAATCCATTAAGCCATAACACCTGCACTCCCATAGTATTTGATAAGTACAGTAAAGCATGTTCAAAACAAGGAGGCGGTAACTTTCTTATTTTTACCCAATTTGGAACAAAGTACAGGTAGTTTAACTTCTCTACAATAGCTCTTGCTTTCCCACTGTCTCCCTTTGGTAGATCCTATCACTTGTTGATAATGATGAGGAAAACAATAAAATAATAACAGCACACACTATTTATTTAGCATTTACTATGTACCAGGCATTGTGCTAAGAGTTTTGCACTCATCATTAAATTTAATTCTTAAATGCATGAGGTAAAGCATTATATTACCTTTTTTGTTTTATTTTTGCAAAGAAACCCATAACTGTGATGAGGCCAGTCTTTTTTATTATATAGATTGTATCTTTTGTTCCTGTGTTTCCAGCGTGGAAAGGGATGGTAGGACTGAAATCTTGTCCACTTCCCTATCAAAGACATGCCATCAAGGGTCAGCTGGGTTGTGTTTTTTTTTTTTCTTTTTTTTTTTTTTTTTTGGACAGGCAGAGTGGACAGTGAGAGAGAGAGACAGAGAGAAAGGTCTTCCTTTGCCGTTGGTTCACCCTCCAATGGCTGCCGCGGCCGGTGCGCTGCAGCTGGCGCACCGCGCTGATCCGATGGCAGGAGCCAGGTACTTATCCTGGTCTCCCATGGGGTGCAGGGCCCAAGAACTTGGGCCATCTTCCACTGCACTCCCTGACCACAGCAGAGAGCTGGCCTGGAAGAGGGGCAACCGGGACAGAATCCGGCGCCCCGACCGGGACTAGAACCCCGTGTACCGGCGCCGCAAGGTGGAGGATTAGCCTAGTGAGCCGTGGCACCAGCCTCAGCTGGGTTTTACACAGTGCTTCTGAAAGCTTAGCTTTCCTGTGTTAAGGAGCAATGTTCTGAGCTGTGATTTGTCCATTTCTCAGCAGTTTGGTCTGAACAGTAGGCAAACCAAACTCTCCTTTCTTTTAAGGTCCCACTTGGGTTAAACTCTGTCTTGAGTAAGTATTAAAATGATGGTAACAAGGTTCATGGTGGAATTAATAAAGCCGAGTGGGTTTTCTACAATGAAGAATTCAATGGAGGGCTTTTTGGAGAGTATAACACAGGTGCCACTGAGATTACTATATCTCTTGGGTCCAAGGAGTCCGCACTATCAGCATCTCTATGAGGCATGCTGTAGTTTACTACAGGAAAGTTTTTGGAGCAGACTGGGCTCTGTGTGTGTGTGTGTGTGTGTGTGTATGTGTGTATGTGTGTGATTATGAGTGGGCACGTGTGTGTGTGTGTGTACATGCACTATCAGCTGACACTCAGGACCAGATACCTGCACACTTCACATAGTCATGAGTTTTCATACTGGGTGTTGTATTGATGCTCTC